CAATTCCTTAGCCCATGAACTTGGACCACTTCTCTAATGTGTCATACGTGACACAAAAAATGCTTCCAATTAAGATGGATGAGAATTACAATGAAGCCAATAAAGCCAGTGGCATTATCCCAAAAACAAAAATAAAAATAAAAATAAAAAAAGAACTATCCTTGCCATTCCTTGGAAATAGCAAATTATAAGACTGACCAAAAACATCAAACTTTTCACCTCCCACCAAAAGTAAAATACGAGTTGAGAAAAGATAAAAAAGAAGACGCGCAAAACTAATAAGGGCAGACAACAATAATTAGAAGTAAGAAAGAAAACTTTCACATAATTACGTGCGTGTGCTATACAAAAAAAGCTTCAAAAAAACATCATCAACTAGTAGTCAATGATAACACCAAACTTTTTTTTAACTTTTATTTTGGTCTCACCTAGCCAAACTGTATATGACAATATAGTCTACACAATAGGGATCTGTTGTAATTGGTTGTAGGCAAAACATTTGTAATATTATTCTCTTTTCACTTATTATAAGGGGTGGTTGGTGTGTGTATATATGGACTTGGACAAGTTTCATAAAGCTTTTATATATACGTGGTTTTCAACTATAGCTGCAATCTTGCAGTTCAAAATTCCAAGCTTTGCTCTAATGAAGGCTGCTCTCAAATATTTGGTAGGCATTGCTGGCCCAAGTGGCTTTGGCTCTAAATCCACTGCTGACCAAGTCACTCAACATTCATCTATCAATTCTCAGCTCACTGCAATTATTACTGGTACTAATTAGTCTTAAATTCTCTTTCTTTTTCATGTCTAGTTTGCCTATAATCTTGTGTTTTTGGGACGGTTGTAAGGCTAAACAATATACTATTTGTAATTAATGAGCCGGTAATTCATAGGCAATGGCTTGGTTAAGGAAAAGCGAGTTTTTATAGGGCAATTGTTACTGCCTGCTAATATGTGCATGTTTGGAAAAATTTCAGTTCCATCACATGGAGGAGAAAATAATCTTGAAAAGAATAATTCTTTTCTTTGATTTTTCAGCTTTTCTTTTCTCCTTCTTACTTTTGTTTCTTGTTGTTATTAGAGAAACTTGGAATTAAAGGGATTTTCCAGCTTTTTGAGTGGTTCTGAGATTAATCATATGTTCGATGTACTCATAAGTAATTTAAAATTCATTATGGAATTTTGGTCCACATGCATTAACTAATTAACTATTTTGTGGAGAGTTAATCTTTGAACAAAGTACTAATACCAATTAAGGAATATTCGTGGAGTTGATTTTTCAGTATAAGATTTTTAGATCTTCAAATTATCAAGACACATGGAATTTATAAGGTAGAGTACTTTCTTGGTATTTTTTCTTCCAAGAAGAAGCATCTTTCTCAAACACTTGTGTACTTCCCATGACCCATTTTTCCAAAGGTTATTCCTATGTTTTTCAGATGTAGGGTACGAAATATTCATGAGGCTTCACTCATCATTTTGTACCTCATCACTTTTCTCTATCACACATTTTGAATAAAAACTTTCAATTAATTTCCCCACTCTGGCCTGCAAAAGAAAAAAAAAGGGACAGTTCGGTGCACAAAGTATCATTCACGTAAGTTACGGGGAATGGCCGCACTCAAAGAGTGTGATGCAAAAAAGAGTGAGAGCTAAGGGTGGAGAATGGAGAAGAAGAGGCTTTCCTTTCCTTTCCTTTCCTTTCCTTATTCCAAATAATATAAAATTGAAGATTAACATATTCAATTTTTTTTTTCTTTTTAGTGTATCTTTTTGTTTGAAGGAAGATATAGTTTTGTCTCTACTTGGGTTGTTGATTAATAGATACTACAAGATTTCCTATCTGGACGTACTGAGTACTAATCATATGCTATCTTTAACACAGAAATGTTCAGTATCAAAATATTTAAATAACAACCTCCCACTATCTTTCATTAATTAGTATTTTAATCACCATGCATTACTTAGTGCAGATCCAATATAGAAACCTAATTTAGTACATGTCATAAAAAGATTAGACAAAACATCATATGATATTATATAGTTTTTTATTAATCATACTGGAAAAATTACAGGCGCAACATCAGGGATAGGGGCAGAAACAGCAAGAGTACTGGCAAAAAGGGGTGTAAGGATAGTAATTCCAGCAAGGGACTTAAAGAAAGCAGCAATTGTGAAGGAATCCATACAAAAAGAAAGTCCAATGGCTGAGATTATAATATTAGAGATAGACTTGAGTTCATTTGCTTCCATTCAGAGATTTTGTGCTCAGTTCTTGTCTTTAGGACTGCCTCTTCACATTCTCATGTATGTATTTTTTTTCCTTTCATCGTGTGTTTAAGTTATATACGGTATAGAGAGTTTTTTACACTATCAGAGCACTCAAAATAAGGCAAGTTAACTGCTAAATAGGTAAACGTGACCTAATGGCACAAAAATTCTTTACACGGACAGTATATATAACATAAACTCTTATTTTTTTGTATTTTCTTTTCTTTTTAGGAAGTGAAGGGTGTGAACGTAATTTACGATTGGTCTGAAATTTTTATCATGCAGAAATAATGCAGGGAAATTTTCGCAGAAACTGGAGTTCTCTGAAGACAAAATCGAGATGACTTTTGCCACAAACTACTTAGGTAACTAACTCCTTATTATATACTCGGGACCATTATCTTTCTTGATGGAGTTGGGACTTCAATACCCAAGTATAAATGAAGTCCTACAAAAAGAAAAATGAAAAAAATCTAGAAATACCTCAAACTATAGTCCCTTGTGTGATGTACTATACGAGTTTGAGTTATATGCACTGTATTATGAAAACAAATATTTACACATTAATTGATAAATTTAATAAAAATAACTATCCTGCTATTATAGGCTAAACTGTACTGATTATATAAACACAACTTAAATCATGGTGTTTGGCAGGTCATTTTCTATTGACAGAGTTGCTATTAGAGAAACTGGTGGAGACAGCAGAATCCACAGGGATTCAAGGAAGAATAGTGAATGTTACTTCAGTAGTTCACAATTGGGTGAAAAGAGATCAATTCCGCTTCTGCAAATTACTCAATCCCAAGAAGTAATATGAATACTACTAGTATTTAGTAAATATTTCATAGTAATTACTTATTAATACGAGATTTATTCAAAGTTAGTTCTTCCAACTTGTTCCTCGATCTCTAAACTAATTCGTCTTGGTGATGCATGTCACACAGTTATAATGGTACTCGTGCATATGCTGAGTCAAAATTGGCCAACATTTTACATGCCAAGGAATTGTCAAGACAACTAAAGGTTAATTCCCTATTTAATTACTTCCTTTCACTTGCATGTTTTCTGCACTTTCTTAACAGAATTGATAAGACCGTAAACAAATGGATTCTTTTCATAACCTAATACAAAAAATAATATGATATAAATAAAAAGATTATACCCAATTAGAAGCAATCAAAACATAATCTTCAGTGTTAAAAGTGGTAGCTCCCTAGTCAATTCACCAATAATTTTGTGGTAAGCAATCTAATCATCGGATTTTATACTAAGCTGTTTCTCTTACATATCACATGAATCTTGATTAGACAGCTCAACACAGATAAATTTATATGCCAAAACTCAGTACATGTAATTATTTTCTGTGAGAAAAGTCAGTTGGATCCTGAAATTAAAGTTAGAGTACTCCTTGTACCTCTCATTAGGGAATTGTCCATCAGTTTAGAATCTGCCAGCTTCATTTGCACTATAGTACTGTAGACAAAGGATACTTCTCTTTCCTTCTTTGGTCCCTGTACTCTCCAAAAAATTTAATTGCTTTTGTCTTTATATATTTGTATAATTTAAATAGTGAAAAATGTATGTTTGAATCGAACAGGCAAGAAATGCAAATGTGGCTATCAATGCAGTCCATCCTGGAATTGTAAAGACTGGAATAATCAGAGATCACAAGGGCTTTATCACAGGTATGTCTTTTTCATTTAATTTTTGCTGCAAATATCAAACAAATATAACTATAGTTACTAACTTCCCTTACACACATAAACAGATTCTCTCTATTTTATGGCATCAAAACTTCTAAAGTCAACATCACAGGTTCGTCTATATATGTTTGTCTCTTTTTGCTCCATTGAACATTCCGACTATTTTCTTTGCAACTTAATTTGGACTCACATACTTTTTTGTTCCCAAAAAGTTGTGGAAAAATCATTTATTGCTCTCCATATACCAACAAAAGTGGGGGGGAAAAGTAAAAAGAGTGAATATAAAAATAAGTAACGAGGTCAATCTTTTGGTATGGCAGGGTGCAGCAACCACATGCTATGTAGCACTGAGCCCACAAACAGAAGGGATAAGTGGGAAATACTTTGCAGACTGCAATGAAAGTCACTGTTCAGTTTTAGCAAATGATGAAACTGAAGCTCTTAAGCTTTGGAAGGGCACTCGTGTTCTCATCCATAGAAGATTGCTTCCACCTGTAGGATGAACAAACCATTTCTTTTTACTTTTGGGAAGGAGGGATGTACATGTAAATAAATAGATATACTCTTGTATATCCATGATAACAAATGAAAATATCATACAAATAGTCCAATTGTTAGCAAACTGATGGAGAACAAATGTTAGTGGAATAATGAAGGTTCTTCTAGTGGTCCATTACTATGAACACGCTTTTGCCTTTCTGTTTTGCACTTTTGGCTTAATATTCAAGATACCATAAATACCCCTTAACGCAGCAACAACAACAACAACAACAACAATAACATACCCAGTCTTATCCCACACCATGGGGTCGGAGGAGGGTAGTGTGTATGCAGACCTTACCTATACCTTATGAGGATAGAGAGGTTATTTCCAATAGACCCTCAACCCCTTAACGCAACTTTCCCCGTTTTACAACTACCTTACAAAGGGATCCACAACAAATTCATCACCTTTCTTTCGCATTGTGCAATTAATTCCTAACTTTCCTCAGAGTTGCCTTGTCATCAACATTGCAAATAACAGCAATTCCAAATTAATATTACAACAACTACTACTATTACGCCTCAGTCCCAAGTCCCAAATAAGTTGGGGTCAGAGCAATTCCAAATTGATATTAAATAGATAATTATCCTAGAAAGCAAAATCCAGAGTAAAAGTGTTGGCTGCACGCCTGTAAACTGTTCCACTGAAAGTAGCTCATATCACTCAAGTATATCATTTTCCAAAAAGAATGCAGCATCTAAGCAATCTTCTATCCTACAATACAGACATTTGATACACTACAATGTACAAAAAGAAATGGAAACTGGAAAGTCATATGACGATATAATGGAGCAAAACCAACAAAGCTTGGACCTAAGAAATGAAGTCAGCCCACTACAAACGTTAAGGCTTTGAGCATCTGATCAGGTAGCCATTTGACATGACTCGTTACTGATCCCAATATTCTAGTAGAAGCAAGTTAGATTTTTGCTTATCAGGACTCGTGAATTAACAAAAATTTGTTGGCTAAGCAACTGCGGAATCCTTATCATCTCTTGACCTGCCAAAAAGTGAATTTTGCACATTAGGAACCCATGCAGGGTGAAGTGCTTGCTCAAATTTAATCTAATAAGCCTCATTCAATCTATGCAATGATTGTTGAAGCGAAGATATTTCTCCCCAGATATTTCCTGCCAAAAGAACATTCACATGACGGCATAACGAGTGAATTCTTCATGAACAGGCCTGTTCAGAAAATTCAGTCATCAATGTTGTGAAAAAGAGAATCTTTCCGTATAAATGCTCTCTGCATGTGATATTAGCTCCGTAGGGTGAAACGTGGTTGACATTGGTCAACTTTAACCACGTGTGCTAATTTCATTCCTATTAAGGTGCAGACACCGGTTAGTCCAGAGGCGGATCCAGCATTTGATGGCTACGGGTGCCACTTTTTAATGCAAACTACCATCAATGAAGGAAATTGATTTAGGGTGTACATTTTATTGGTTTGGTTTGGTTCAATCTATTTTGAATTAATTCAGTTCGATTTACAAGATTTTGGTGCTTAAATAAATATATGAAATCAAAGAAATTTTGTCCAATTCGATCTAATTCTCTAACTCTATTGAATGATGTGATTATGCACAAAATTAAAATATAAAACTAGCAAATACACCGCTTATAGCTAGATTTATATCAAGTCTATTGATGCCATCACTCTAAAAGATTTTTGAAATCATGGAAACAATAAAATTACAAGGATAAAAAGAGAAAATATTAGAATCCTTGCAGTTTGTTGACTATTTAGAGTTTTCAACTGTTTAATTCTAAATAGAAAAAATCGGCTAATGGAAGAAAACAGGATCCGATCCTGCATCTTCCGCTTGGAATGTTAGCCTTTAACCATGGCACCTAGAGCCAACTTATTACTCTGGCTGCCATCCTTTTAATATATAGAGTTTTTGTGTAAAATACCAATATATATATGGCGAAATACATAAACAGCCCCTTCAAGTTGTCCTCAACTACCAGCTGAACACCCCAACTGATCAATTTACCATTTAGACACTTCAAGTGACTATTAAGTGTATCAAGTAAACACTCGAGCGCAGCAAACTATATGCGTGAGTTACACTTGCTAATGATGTGTCAAATGAACCAATTAGAAAACGACACGTGTAATTTGAATTAACAAAAAAAAAGGAATACATTTAAAGCAAAAAAAAATTATTTTTCCTTACTTTTAATTAACCAAGCCAGCGCTGACCTCCCCCCCCCCCCCCTCCTTTCATCTTCTTTCTTTCACTCATCAACTTTCCCTCATTCCATTTCTCCAAATTAACCTACATCCTAACTCCCAACAAATTAAACATAGGTACTGAATCAAATTCCCACAGTGGAAATGCATCTGAAGGATCAAAGAGTTTTCCGAACAATAGCGGACTAAACAGCGAATCTTCACACAAGAAATCTGCCTTGTGAGTTGTTGAATTCATGAAAGTTACAAAAACATCTTCTTTAGTGGAACACACCATTTCTGTGGGTTTGCTTCTTCAAATTGAACTTCAATCTGTTTGTAACTGGTCATTGAAAATTCAAGGATGAAAATGAAAAGAAATTTATATTCTTTTAATAATGCTGGACAAAGAATTTGAGACTTCAATTCTCCATTTCCAAAGTTGTGTAAGGTCCATTGCAGTTGATTCGATAGGCTTTGGTTCGAAATTTCCGAAGAAGAAGATGACCGGGTCTGTTTGAAGAAGACCAAATTTCTGGGTCCGTTCAAAGTTTATTGAAGAAGATGGGTCTGTTCGAAACTTTTGGGTCTGTTCGAAGTGTGCTCGTAGAAGTCTGGTCGACTATTGATGTTGGGTTTGTTCGGAATCTGTTGAAGAAGACGATGGAAAAGTAAGAAGATATGTTTTGGGGGAGTGTAGCCAATTTCAGTTGCTTTCAATATTTGGGGTTGATTTGCGAAAATGGGGGACACAGATGGGGAAAGCAAGAAGATGGTTTGGGGGGGGGGGGGAGGGGGAAGGAATGGAGGATTTTCTTGAATTTGACAATTCAAAAATGACCTTCACGCGCCCAACACTTTGTTACAAAACACGCATATGCCACACCAGTAACGAGTGTTTACTTGAAATACTTAATAGCCACTTGAAGTGTCTAAATGGTAAATTGATCAGTTGGGGTGTTCAGCTGGTCGTTGAGGACAACTTGAAGGGGCCGTTTATGTATTTCGCCTATATATATATATATATATACACAAACGCAAAAATTTACCCGAGCGACCGGGTGGCGTGCCACCCCCAACCCTCTATATAGATCCGCCCCTGTCGGTTACCATTTCCTTGCTTCATTGATCTGTTCTAACTTTTTCATTTGCTTCTAGTACCTTAGGATGCTTCTTAATGAACTTGCCACCAAATCACAAGACTGATGACCTAACCCTATGCACTGGCTTCACACAGTCATGTAAATGACAGCACACATCATACCTCTAATCTCCAAGCTAGACACAATTATGTATATCATGAGCAATTGGTCCAAAAAGAATAGCAAAAGTAAATACAAAGTTTATAAATGTGAGGACCTGAATGACAAGAAAAGCAATAAAAGAAAGTACCACTTATTTGAGTCTACAGACTTCAAAGAGCAAAACGACAAGCAATATAAAGGACTTGCTAAAAAACAACAAAATTCACTCAAAGCTGACCTTAACCAGAAAATCCTTGCTGTCTTACAAATTTAACAAATACCAAAGACTAGTCTATCTTGTTAGTTTATCTGAATTACAGTATAATGAATTGAGCTTAATCAGTCCTCAGCTTAGCTTGGCTAAACTTAATTGAATCCTTTGAATTGAGATCAAACATATCGCATAAAAATACGTCTCAATCCCAAAAGAGTTAGTCCTCTCCTTTTTGGAAAATCCCAAAAGGTCGTCAACCTTCCCTAAAAAATGTTTTACTTCATCCAACTAGAACAAATTTTTAAGGTATCCACCTAATTCCCTATTCTATTTATCCAAAACACAGGTAAACATATGAACCCATAAGTTTCCTAAGAAATGCTAGATAGTTCATACTTTGAACTCTTTTTGTAGTAACTAGTAAGCTCGCTGAATAAAAACATCCAAGACTGTTCCTTTCTGAGGGGCACACAGAAATCATCCAAAGCATATACATTTATGTTGGTTTATATGTGTGTATATCCAGACAAGCCAATGAGAAAAGGTTATCAAGTCCAGATGCTTGTGAACCTTTTAAACAGTAGCAATTATTTGTTCAGGTTAATCATGACTTTTTTTTTGGTTTGTATCTGCATCATGTTAACAAAAACTTAGCATGTCAATGAGGGATTAAACATGTATAGCCTGGAAATCTACACTATATCATAGGAAAGAATGTATGCGACATACTTCAGAATTGCTTATCAGTTATTTTTGCATGTCCCCTCTGACAGTTAATAATAAAGTCCATATTTCAACTTTTTCTGCAACATCACTATCCCACACTTTACTCATCATTAGGAGTGTCAATTTTGACTCATAAAATGGTATCAAGGTCTCACCCAGACTTCAATAGGTTGGATGAGTAATCTATCTATTTAAGAGTTAAATTTCTGTAGCTCTAATCAACCCATCCAAAAGATTGGTTCGACTTGCATTACATAATTAGCAATTTTCCCCAAATTAACCTGTAAGAGAAATTTGTTACAAATAGAAAAAAGAACAAAGAGAGAAATATTTCTACCACAGGGTATAATATTACTTTCTTGCACAATACTTTTTTTTACGAACCTACAAATTAGGAAAGAAAAAAGAACAAATGGAAAAGTGGCTTTGAGTTGAGTAGGTTGGCCTATGACCCATCGATCCACTTATCTTGACCGAAGGGTATTTTGGACTGGCTGGACATTACCCCTCCATTTGACCCCCCACCCCCCACCCCACCCCCACCCCCAAATCATCATATATGTTGCACTAGCTTCCTTCAAGCACAAGTGCATTTATTCTTTCTCTCTTATTCCCTGTAGCAAAAGAAATAGGAACAAATTCATAAATTTCATTTAAGCATAGTAAATATTGAAACTGGACTGACCCTTGTTGGATGACGAGAAAGTGGGAAGAAGATGATGCTCAAGTGTCTAAGAGGGCATGACCATTCAATTTGAGTGTTCCTTTTCTTTCCCTTTTATTTTTCTCTTTTCTCTTTTCTCTTCGGGTGACAACTCGGATATAATTTGAGTTAAATTGGTTAAGTAAAATTTCTGCCCAGAGTAAGTCTCAAAGATTATAAGAATAGAGAGAATAAACAAGGAAACCACTATCGGAAATCAACAGCAACATTTCTAAGAGAGGACAAAGCATATATAAAGGAAAAGAAAGAAACATAGAAATCATTTAGAGCTTGTTGTCCAAGTTTTCATAATTAATAAATGCTACCTTAAAACGAGTAGAACGCCGAAGAGACGAAGCAGATCCAGGAGAGGGGACTGCTGGCCTACCCCCTTTTGCACGGTCAAGTTTCCTGGAATTTCTGTTATGTTCATCAGATTGATGCTCCTGTAGCTGGGATGAAAACTCACTTCTACTATCAGTTGAAATGGAAGAAACCGGGGCTGACATAGAGATCATGGAAGTGTCTTGATCACGAGATGCTATGTCAGGAAGAGTTCCTGGATGCATAGGAAACATAACCGTATTCAGAACCATTATACAGCATTTGATGAAAACTCTCCGTATATTTAATATTTATATCTGCTATATTCAGCCATTATACGGAATTTGATGACAAACTCTCTATATATTTATAAACTGTGTAAGAACATGCAATCTTCCGGGGATTGCAAGCAACCAATACTCTATGATTTCTTGCACAGCCGCATATGGCTCTGGTGTTACCAAATAAGGCTCAGAGGATAATGTAACATAGAAACAGAAACACAAAGTCATACCATGTGCTACAGCTGCTTGAAACTTTTCTCTCATAATCCTGACAAACTTGAACAGTCCATTGCTCTTATTTAACTCTCTGAGCAGCTCGTTTGCATCGTTTAGTTGTGGATCACAATCAACCACTAAAAATCCAAGCCAAGCAAAGAATTAGAGTTCTGGACCATCTTCACTATGTATAGTTGATAAAGATTCCAAACTTACAAGTATATACATCATTCTCATGACGAATGGTAAAAAAGTATTCCTTATCCTGATTATTGGCATCAATATTGGTAAATATGAATTTAACCCCTGCAGAAAATAGGAAATGAATGTTCAAAGGACAAATCTGATGATAGAAGAAGACTTGTATTTCTTTTATTGGAAATCCATTAGTAATAATTAGAGATTTTGGCGAGGTTATATGGTTCAGAAAGCAAGTCTGCTCCTTTAGAATCTTAAATGTGTCCACAAGTTGGAAGCATAAACATACCATGGCCACATTCAATACGTAAACCAAGCACCTTATTGTACCACACAACAGCCTCTTCTATTTCCTCTCTCTGTTCAGCAGTCTGATTATGCTTTTCTTCACGTGCTTTGAGAGCTTTTACCCACAAAAAGAAAGCTCAATTACCCAACATGATATGGTGTCACTTGGTAGAGACAGCAAAAGCAGACACAAAGTTATCAACATAGAAGAAGCGCCAATAATATTCACACGAAAAGCAACTTTCACAACGAAAGTACAAGGAGAGTTTGGAAAAAGGGGCACGATAAAAAAAGAAAAGAAAACTTGAACAAGTTTTCATCCAACTTCCAACATCAGTGTAGATCTTGAGGAACTTCAAAGGAAGAAGAGGCAGATAAGCATTATTATTTAATGCAACCTTCCCAACAAATTAGGTGTCTTCATTTGACCAGGCACAAGCATTTGAGCTAGAGCTTTGGTTTTACTACATTAAACTGGAGGTGAATCCAAATACAAAGATAAAACTTCACTTTTGATGAGTTTCAAATAAATTGGGTGTCATGTTACTTTCTTTATTATTATGATACTGAAATTGCTTTTGAAGGGTGTAAAAAAAAAAAATGAAAGTCGACAAACACCATTAATCTGGGACAAGGCTAAGTGATAAGACTTCAGCCTAAGGTCATAGCAATTATTGATAATAAAAATTATAATACTGCATCAATTTGAGAAAGTAACTAGGGGATTAGGTCAAATTAACATCTCTGTGCTATTTGTCTCGTAGGAAGACTCCAAGACATGAGAGCACGTATGACTTTGTCAAATGCATGAAAAGAGGGCCAACTTTTGCAGAGATAGAATTTACCATCAATTTGTTGAGATATTATGGCTGCATATTCCTCTCTCCTGGGCCTTTGCTTTTCCACAACCCCTCTAAGTTTTTCTATTCTAGCTTTCATAGCAGATATTGAGTCTGCTAATGCTATCTGCTTTGCCTCTCTTCGGGTCTTCGCTGAAGATGACATAACATGTTAGAATTTTAAATAAAAAACAGAGACAAAATAATAATAATAATAATAATAATAATAATCCAATTTTATAGAGAAAATGATAATCCAAAATTAGTAGCATATAGAAAAGTAACAGGAGTAGTTCTTCAAAACCATGAATGCCGGATATATCTAATTAGTCGCTGAAATCATTCCTTTTAAGTCTCAATTCTTAAATGCAAAAGAAGTTGAGATTAAAAATAAGACATTTTAGAAACTACTATGGATGAGAACTAGCAGAATAAGCAAATAACCTTAAGAACTTTGCGGTGACTACCATATTGCAGCTACTTTGGATGTGAATCTTTTACACATATTTCCCATTTTCCCTCGATACACAAGAAATCCAAGAAAAAAAAATCTTAGATACCATAACAGATCCATGCTGTAATATTACATTTAAACTTTGGAAGTGTTGTTACTTAGATCTTCAGACTTTCAGTGTTTATTGCCTCATATTCTTACTACTATAAGGATCTTCAGAGCTTAAAAAGACAGTTTATTTGCATAATTAGTATAATTAGTACTTACGTCATCACATATGCAAGTTCGCTTTCAGCATAACCGTCATTTTCAGCAAAAAAAGAAGCGCTTAATTAGAAAATCCACAGCATACGTAAAGAGCAGTACACAGAAGAACGGGAAAAGAGTGACACACCTGCAAGTGCTTTCACCAATTTGTCTTCCAATTCCCTCAGCTCAACTTTTAACTTCCCAAGTTTTTCTGCCGCAACCAGTCAATTAAATCAAATAATCAAATCAATAAGATCCCACGTGAAGAAAATTTCAATCTAGTAGATATAATCCTATATAATCGCTAAGATTAATGTTCAGGTGAAAACCCTAAGTTTAGAACACTAAAATTCAAGGGAGCCTCAGAATTTAGAAAAAGCATACCCTGTAATTGAAGAGACTCTTGTGCTTGGGCCTTGGTTGAATCGAGGGATTTTCGAAAGGAGTGAGTGGCAGCATCCAATTTCTGCTGTTGAATGGGAATTTCTCTGTCACAAATTAATCTAAGTTCCTCCATTTTCGTCCTCATCGCTTCCCCTACGCCGCTCTTCATTCTAATCTCTAACGTTCTCTGCTTATTTTGCCTTGTGCGTGTGTGAGAGAGGGGAGGGTATGCGTTTGAGATTTGAATACTGGTGAGACAATACGCTTAGCCCGCCATTTTCATTTCCTTTTCAAAATAGATGGTGGCCAGCGAATGAATACTGGTAACTTTTCTTTCTGAATAGCTTAATTAAAAGTTAAAACCAGGTGTCAACATACTGCACACTTTCTTTAATAACTTGCACGCACTTAAATATTTACTCCCTCCGTTCACTTTTACTTGGCACGTTTTGATTTTTTATGTCACTTAAAATAATAAATAAAGTGCATAATTTACCATGATAACCAAATTAATTGATGCATATTTTATTGGATATGAGAAAATAATTTGAAATGCGTAATAAATATTGTGGGTGTAACAGGAAAAAAAAATTATCTTCTCTTGATATGCGTAAAGTGACAACTAAAAGGCAAATTTTTAATATGTGTGAAAATAACCAAAAAATCAATTAAATTGAACCGGAGGAAGTACATGACATATATTATTCACACATTCTGCATTAACATTATTAATTAAATTTAAATGATATGTGTTATTAGGATAATTAATCACTTAGTCAAAATATGTGAAGTAATATTATTAGTTATAACCATGTAGATAAAATTTTGAATGCAGGTGTCAAAATAGTGCACACTTTCAAGTTCCACTCTGCTGTTTTAAATTTTTTTAGTGATGATAATAGTATTTGTCTTCAAAATGTGTTTAAGGCTTTTGGAAATATTTACTACTTTTTTCCTGTAATAAGCGAAATACCTAAATTATTTTAGTGTGCTTTATTATGGATACACTCTCAATACTTTGTAGCATTTTCAGGACATAAAAGCTTAGACAATCGACTCTATATATTGAGAAAACAAATTGTTTTGATATATCTACTAAAAATTAATGATAATATATCCTAGTAAGCAGATAATCATCTGCACCCAAGAGTATATCCTAACAAAGTGAGCGTGAATATTATAGTCCATAGTTTAAACTTCGTTAAAGACAAAAAAAACTACAAGGTAATTTCCTCGAGATGTATATAAATATAACCTGCTCCGGCATCTTTATTTAGAGAAAGTATCAAATAAATATCTTAAGTCATATTATTGTAAAAGCACATCTTCAACACAAAATGTTGATCATTATTTAACAATTCGTAAGTGCATCTTATGTTAGATAAAAATGTAATTACAACTAATTTTTAAAACTTCATAATTAACTCTTACTCATAATTTGATATTTTTAATTAATAAAGAACTTCCTCAATTCATTGTTGTGTTAAATTAATAACCAGAGTTTGTCAAATTAAAAATTATCACTTTTTGCAAATTTAATAGATCAAAACTGCCAATTAGTATATCTAATGGATTATTTCAGATGAACAGACTATTTTTGTTGTTTAACAAGACAGAGGATCATATTGAAGATTTTTCCCCTTAAAATGTGTAATTTTGGTTGGCAAATTCCACTAATGTGTAATTTTTGTGAAAATTTTAAAAATATGCATATGTGACATGCTATTTACACGTATTAACGAGAAATAATGGGGTCTTGTCATTAACTTAACTTACGTTTTAAATGCAACTAGTATTAGCAGGTTAGCTGATAACTAGGGATTCTAGTCTATTTTACGCTCCTTTTTGCTTAAGTTTTGGATTAAAAGTGTATACAAGTAATCACGAAAGCTAATATGTTATGCTTGTTTGCACTGTTTGGTCAAAAAGAGACAAGGAAGTCAAAAACCAGCTCAAAAAGGAGTGAAACCTGCACAAGTGCAAAGCTGAGTCAACTAAGCGCTACAGTGGAAAATCAACAGCGGACGCGGAGGGTCCACCGCTGAGGCGGTCTTGATCTCGCGGTCCGCGGTGGCAAGGTTCAGAGAGATGCATTTTTGGGATTGCAAGTCACCGCCGCGGTACTTTTATGCGGCAGCGGTGCCTCTACCGCGACAGCAGAGCATTTACCGCGGTCCGCGGTGGCAAAGATTCAGAGAGATGCAATCTGAGGCTTTTCAAGTCACCGCTCACCGCGGTGGATTTATGCGGCAGCGGTGCCTCTACCGCGACAGCGGTTGTTTTATCGCGGTCAGCGGAGGAGAGATTCAGAGAGTCCGAAGTTGAGCTGAAAGTTGAAGACCGCGGTCCGCACTTGATTTTATGCGGCTGCCGTAGGCTCACCAAGACAGCGGTCCATTTTCCGCTGTCAGCGGTACCTTCGTAGGGGCATTTTTGTCCGAAAAATTTAGTTGTGTATAAATACTTCTTTTTCAGATTTTTAGGCCATCTGTTGTTTAGCTGAGCACGTGAACCGCCTACTTTTGGATTTTTGAGTAATTATATAGCTAGTTTAGCAATTAATCTTAGACTTTTATCTTGTAATTAATTTTTATGGGTTATTATTCATCTAAATCTCTTATTTCTTCAGTTATTATGAGTAGCTAGACCCGTTAGCTAGGGTTGTGGCTCAACCCTAGTGTGGGTATTTAATGGGTCTTTTATTTTAGGGCTTTAATGTTTATGGGCGAATGATATTTGGCCTGTTTTGTGCTTTTGATGTTGAATTGGTGGTTGAAAACACTAATTTGTGCCTTTTTTACTTAGGCTCTTCTTGAGAAAGAGAGGCCAAGTTTAGGAACTTCAGGCCAATAAGGAATTGGGGTGCATTCTATCTCATTCAAGAGATTGATAGCCCCAATTAAAGGGTTAAACCTAGAGATAGCAATACCCGACTTGAGCCAACCTTGCTTGCACAATTTGAACACCCAATTGGACTTGAGAAAGCCAATTAGCGCAAATTCACTCAAACTACGGAGAGGTATAGAGTGAGTAGTTTCGTGCATTGGCTATATCACGATCCCAACTATAACAATTTTGCCCTAAGTTTTAGATCCGGTTAGGTACTCACCTAGGAGTAAGTCACTTCCCTAGTGCCTTTCCATAAATTAAGAAAACCTTATAAAAATATCATACTTAGTCTAATTACTTGCATCATTAGTATAAAAATAAAATAGTGAACAAACAAGAATGATTGGAAGTGCAATTGAAAACATAGCACATTGCTAGATTAGATAGAAATCCAATTCCAAACCTTTCTTAGCTCTTTGTGGATTCGATCCCGACTTATCGGGTAAAAGCTACATCGACTGCTCTTGCCACTCTATAGTGGTGTAGGGTTGGCCTCGATCAACTTTTTGGCGCCGTTATCGGGGAGCTAAACGGTTTTGACTATCTATCTAACTAGTTTTGTGTCTTGTTTTTCTTTCGTTCTATTTTACTAACGTGTGTGAATCATCGATTCAAATACAAAATGGCAAACAATGATCCTCTTGGAAATATTCCGCCGGGGGAGGAGGTTGATGATAATGGAGAAGATGAGGTGCCTCTACTACCTCAAGGTCGAAGAAGAGGTCGCCATGCCAATGATAACATTCCAGACCCTCCACCGCCTACTCCAAGAGTCGCTCCTTGGGTGGTTCCAAATGAGGGTTACGCAAGTGCAATTGTCCTACCCCGGATCCGGGCGGGCAATTTTCAAATAACAAATGTGATGTTGACTTTATTGGAGCAGCGAGGGTACTTCACAAGCGCTCCCCATTAGAATGCATATAAAAATCTTAACGGCTTCGTGGATACCTGTTGGGGAATCAAGCAGACGAATGTATCCGAAAATGCTTTAAGATTGAGATTGTTCCCTTTCTCACTTCGGGGGAAAGCTTTGGACTGGCTCGAAAGACTTCCCAACCATTCCATCCATACTTGGGATAAGTTGGCGGACAAGTTTATAGCGAAGTTTTTTTCGCCGGGACATATGGCGACCTTGAGAGATGAGATTTTGGCCTTCAAACAGGAACCTAATGAACCACTTCATGAAATCTGGGAAAGGTATCGGACAATGGTGAAAGATTGTCCGAACAATGACATGACCGAAGCAATGATTCAGCAGACTTTCTGCCGTGGCATTAACACAATCAATGAGTGTGTGGTGAACTAGCTAGCAGGGGGAAATTTTATGAACACACCTTATGCTGAGGCGTGTGAGATATTGGATGAGATGGTAGACACTTCCTCGGCTTGGCAGAGTCGAGCTAATGTGCCACAAGGTGATCCCACAGTCATTCGCCTGCACAAAGAGCTCCAAGACCATGGTAGGGCAATAGCAGAGTTAACTACAACAACGAACCAGCTGGCCAAAGCTCAATTACAGCAAGTTCAAGCGCCACGACAAGTAAATGCTATGGAAGGTGTCAACATGTTGGTCAACGAGAGGCGACAAAGAGGTCAACAAGGTCAAGGTAGCCCGGATCAATATGAGCAAGGTAATGGTGGTTTCAACCAAGATGATGGGTATGATGAGCAAAGTGAAGAAGTGCAGTACGTAAACAATTATCAAGGACAAAGGGGCAATGATCCTAACCAACAACAACAATAGAGATCCCAAGTCAATTGGGGGAATCAAAACCAACAAGGAAATAGCAATTGGGGGAACAACAATCAGAATTGGGGCAACCAGAACAACCAGGGCAACTGGAGTGGCAACAACAACAATTGGGGAGGAAACAACAATCAGGGTGGTTGGAATAATGGCAATCAAAGAAATCGGGGGCAAGGCTTTCAAATGCCTCCGATGTATCAACAACCAAACAACCCACCCCCATTTCCATCCCAAGGTCCTAGCTCGTTGAACAATGAGATGGGGAGAATCGAGATGATGTTTGAACAAATGATGAAAAAGAACGTCGACTCTGATGCTCAATTGGCATCCCACAATACTTCAATCCGAAACTTGAAGGTTCAACTTGGCCAAATTTCGCAATCTTTGAATACTCGCCCTAAGGAGACTCTACCTAGTGATACGGTAGTAAACCCGAAGGGTGAGAAAAATACCGGGCATGCAATAGCGGTGATTACAAGAAGCGGTCGAGGTGGTAATGTGAATGCCTCCAAGCAAAAGGAAATTGTGAGTGATGAAGTTGAGGTGCAAGATGATGTTATCCCTATAGTTGATGAGCAAGTGAGTGAAGAGAACTTGAATGCGGAAGTGAGAATTGATATTCATGATAATGAGGTGGAGACTCAAAATGACGTGAACCCGTCTAGGGAACACGTAATAGACATGCCGGAA